TGTGTAGTGTATAGTAGTGTATAGTAGTGTATAGTGTAGTCGTAGAAGGGTGGCCAATTCGTCACTAGTACAGCACACCGGTGTGTGTGTGTTGGAGAGCCAAGCCACAACATTTACAATCTGAGTTCAATAACTTAGCGTGCTCATCTGAGTTCAATAACTTAGCGTGCTCATCCGATGGAGTTTGGAAATCGGAGGGATTATGAGTGGCGGTGGGGCGACACTCCACTTTTAAAACATAACGCTGTTATTTATCATTTAAAGAGAGAGAGAAAAACAATCCCCATCTCGTGGAATTGTTTTTATTATCTTCGTTGCATCCTTTAGTGCGAGTACTGCCCAGCACCCCCATTTTGTCAATCCGCTGCTGGATTAAGGCCTCCCATACCGTGTCAACCCATGCGGTTTACCCTGTATTCTTGTACAGGGAAGTTGAGTTTTCAGGTCCATACGGCGTTCAGCCGTTTCAATACGGGCAAACATAAAATTGTCTCTTTGTTTGTGTATCTCCCTTGTGATTGGACTTTGTAGGATGAACGTTGAGGTTGATAAGGGGTTGACAGGTATGGCTATCCGTGCGTTTATCACAGCCGCTCATTTGCGGGCTTCATTAAGAGATGTTGGGAGCACAGTACAACAACAACAACAACGGAGAGTTGCTGCAACTTGCCCTCTGCTGGCAGTGTTATCCCACCAGCGGCAGCCTATGACAACAACAACCTGCTTGTGCGTGATGGTCACCACCCATCAAAGCACAGTCCAGGATCTGCCTTGCTCTTAGCATAGGCTGTCCCCGTAGGAACCAATTCATTTGTTTTCTCTCTTCCATACAGCACTATAACGTGGCCGCACTACAGGCTGAGTGAGTACATCCCCAGGGCGCGTTACCAAAAACAAACCCCCAAATACAATAAAAAACATGCGTTTAAAGTCTGATGTAATATATGCCATTTGTGCCAGCAGAGGTACACCTCATATTCTTGTTGCCCCCCCCCACCGCCGCACCTCCTGTAAGCCACGGTTTGGTTACTAAGTACGGTGGTGCGAAAGACGTTCAACACCGATACCTCTGGCAGGAGGGTTCAAGAGGCGCGGGGAGTGTAGCGGTTGCGTGTACTGTCGAGGCCCTTTGCCCTCCCTTGCCGATGTGACGAAGGTTGCACACTTCAGACATGCTTCTGTCCTTGTGTTTCACGGTGACTTTCCGACCAAATCGATGCCTCCCGTGTGGTGCTGTTGCCCAATGCGTTTACCTGCTGCTGCTGCTGCCGCCGCCGCCAGAGCAGACAGAGAGGGAGGGCTTCGGGGCTCGCTTCCTGTGTGATTTTTTTGTCTCCAGTGCCCTGCGAGTGTGGCCACGGGGAGCAGTGCGCCAAGACTGACTCTGACAACATCGCCAGTGTGAGACATCGCTCGAGTCTGACTGTCTGAGACATCACTCGAGTCTGACTGTTCTGTCTGTCTGTGTGACACCACTTGAGTCTGACTGTTCTGTCTGTGTGTGACATCACTCGAGTCTGACTGTTCTGTCTGACTGTGTGAGACATCGCTCGAGTCTGACTGTTCTGTCTGACTGTGTGACACCACTTGAGTCTGACTGTTCTGTCTGTGTGTGACATCACTCGAGTCTGACTGTTCTGTCTGACTGTGTGTGACATCGCTCGAGTCTGACTGTTCTGTCTGACTGGTCTGTCTGACTGTGTGTGACATCACTCGAGTCTGACTGTTCTGTCTGACTGTGTGTGACATCACTCGAGTCTGACTGTTCTGTCTGTCTGTGCGATACATCACTCGAGTCTGACTGTTCTGTCTGACTGTGTGTGACATCACTCGAGTCTGACTGTGTGATACATCACTCGAGTCTGACTGTGTGATACATCACTCGAGTCAGGCTGTGATACATCACTAGAGTCTGACTGTGTGTGACATCACTCGAGCATGACCGTTCTCCCTGCGACTGTGCCTGACGGCCACCCTGTCAGGTCGCGTGTGGCTGGTGTCGACTGCTGCACCGTGTGCGACGCCTCAAGGCCCTCCCTGCTGAGTTGCGACCTCGGGCGCTCTCCCCCAGTGCTGGTTTCCTGTGGCGGGGTGCGCTACCGCCACCACCACCTCTGGGTTTTTCCACGCGCTCGACAGCAGCTGAGTCGGCAGTCACCGCATTGATTCGTGCAGCCACCATCTACCCGGGGCTGGACGGAGGCCTCCCTACGTTGTGGTCGTCGTCGTCGTGACCTCGCGATTGCGACAATTCGTCCAGCTGCCGCGCGCACACGAGCTCTTTTACCGCTCCGTCTCCACGGATGTCGTCCCTGCCGGGCCGTGTTTCCCCACCTTTTGGCTGCGACTCCATCGTTAGTCTCGACCACCGACCGTAGAGACAGACTTGCTCTTGCGCATGTTTGTGTCCTCGTTCGTAAATAGAGCAGCTCTTAACGTGCGTGTGTTCTGTTCCACGTGTTGCTGTGTGTGCACTGTACCTTTAATTGTGCGGAGCGGTAGTGTAGAGGTTCGCATGCAAACGCAGCGAACTGAGTTTGAATCGCCCTCACGGTCAACAGCAGTGAAGAATATCTGAACTGGCCCTGGGCCTCCCCTATGTCGACTCAGCCTCCAGTGAGTGGTGCAGTGTGTAAACATCGCCACTGGGGAGACAAAGGCGGCCGGGCTTGGTGCTGGCCACCCACCCCCTCGTGTGCCGTGCCAGCCTTCATAGGTGCTCGCGAACAGCACTTTCCCAAAAAGTATTTTCAGGCTATTACGAGGTATCTTTATTTTTTTACTTGAATTTAGTTCTAAGTCATTATGAATGTAAGGTGAAACCGATGGAGGCTTACTCTCACTCCTACTGTTGCAACAGAGGCAAGGGTAATGGGCCATTATCACTTTTGTATTTCATTATTTATGGGTTCAAACTAGATTGGAAGCTTTCGTGACTGCAGGAATCACTCTTTGGTTCTTTCGGTAAAGTCACGGAGAAAATAAAATCAAATAATAATCGAATACGACGTTTCGATTGCAACACAAGCAACCATCATCAGCTAAGAATTAATGAAAAAAAAACATAGTAAACTCAGAAACGCAATGCAACACAACACATAGAGACGGCCAATACAAGAGCCAATAAAGTCATTCTTTGGAGGAGGAGCGTGGTCAGCCAGATGGGGTGTTGGCAGTTGTGTTGGCCGGCTCTCTGTGTTGTGTTGCATTGTGCTTCTAAGTTTACTATGTTTGTTTTCTCTCATTCATTCTTACCTGATGACGGTTGCTTGTGTTGAAATTCAAACGTCGTATTCTATTATTATTTGATTTTATTTTCTACGTGACTTGACCGAAAGAACCAAAGAGTATTTGTGGGGTATTTAATTTTTTGACATTTGGGTCTTTGACACCGCCCCCCCGTAGCTGTACGACCTCGCCAGTAACGCGGTGAGCACGTCCCTGTGATCCAGCACTTCGGCCGTGAGGGGGATGCGATGTGGGAGTGCAGCAAGCAGATTTGTGAATGCATCTCGGTGAAGAACCTTGGGAATGTTTTCCCCTCGTATGTGGGGTTTTTTGTCTGACTTTTTATCTTCTGATATGCAAATTACACCCTTCAAGCGAAAGGAATGATCCAAAAGTCACAGTTCAGTATTCTCGCTGATGCTTTCCTAGACGAATAAGTGACATTATTGTTAATATAATGAAGTCATAGCAATACAACCCCGTTTCACGGCAGACTTTTATTTCACACCGTCCGTTGCATAGCAATTTTAAACTTTGGGCAATTTCCGTTTGATAAATAACTGGTTGGAAGCGAGAGTAAAACCAATGACCTCGCACAAACGTGGTCAGTGGTGATCGCATCGACCACTTCACTAATCTGCCACTTAAAAACGCCTTACAAATACGGTCTATTAAAGCCTTCCAAATAAGGTTGAATGCGTTCAGCTGTGTCCGTCTGTAACAGGCGGGCAACGATAACTCGAAATGATGATGATGATGATTCAATGGGAGCAAATGCTTCGGATTGCGTTGTGTTACTATGAGGGACTTCCCCGAAGGAAAGGGTTGCCCATAACTAAGAGACACAGTCAGAGTAAAAGCCACTGTATGCAAATATGTAGATACATGTTGCCCTGACAGCTCCATTATGGGCCTCCGCACTGCTAATGAAATACTTCCGAAGACAAACACACATTGGAGAGTGTTCCAGAATTCTTGTGTATGCATAACTGTTCTTTCTTATTCAGCGAGCAACAGTACATGGTTGTTTGTGTTACGATGAAGAAGGGTCAATGCTTGAAATGTCACCGTTTATCTATTTGAAAATTTCAGGTAATGATGTTGACGGATATGTTCAGTTTGTTGTTTTATTGTGCTTGTGTACCACTGCCAACGCAGCAGCATCACCAAATGCATCAAAACCATTCGCGCCAGATTTCTTGAGGCACAGTTTGCCGATCGCGACCCCCGTATGCTCGACCATTCGCGGTTGACCACGAGCTGATGCAGCCGCGGAAGAACACGCACGCACCGTCTTGTCTCCCATGCAGCCCATCGCGGGTCACAGGTCACGTGTTGTCCCCAGCGTCCAGTGAAGAGGCAGTGAGGTTGAAGCTGCCTGCGATTTTTCTAACGACATTTCCGCACCCCCCCCCCCTCCTTCCGCTGCATAAATTGACTATATTAGTTATATTTAAGACCGTAGAAAATACATTATGTAAAAAAAAGCCTTCCTGTTTCATGTTTGGGGTTCATGTACGGTAACTGTGACGCTCCGAAATGCCCGTGTGTCATCCTCCAGCGGATATTTTTTAACCCCACCGTGCACGCTCGGTCTGGCTCCCATCCAGGATGCGCTGAGGTTTTAGTTTGATGAACACGTGGGTGCGCCGCGCCACCACTGGGGGGGGGGGGGGGGGGGGGTCGTGTTTGCGGTGTGGCCCGCGCGGCCGCATCCAACGTTGTTTACGATTCTGTACCCCAAATTCTCTCCCACGTGCTTCGTGTCACAGGAACCGCAGGGTGGGGACGTCACGACTGGAGGAGGAGAATCCTCTCTCTGAGAGACAGCCATGCCGGCTCCTCCCCCGCCCCCGCCGCCGCCACCAGCGGCACCGCCACCACCGTCATTCTCCAAGGTGCGTAGATGTTCTCACCCCAACTTCCAGGTGTGTGTGGAGGGTTCACCTGAACTACAGGTGAGTGTGGAGGGCTCACCTGAACTACAGGTGTATGTGGAGGGTTCACTTGAACTCCAGGTGTGCGTAGAGGTTCTCACCCCAACTTCCAGATGTGTGTGGAGGGTTCACCTGAACTCCAGGTGAGTGTGGAGGGTTCACCTGAACTCCAGGTGTGCGTAGAGGTTCTCACCCCAACTTCCAGGTGTGTGTGGAGGGTTCACTTGAACTACAGGTGAGTGTGGAGGGTTCACCTGAACTCAGGTGAGTGTGGAGGGTTCACCTGAACTCCAGGTGTGCGTAGAGGTTCTCACCCCAACTTCCAGATGTGTGTGGAGGGCTCACCTGAACTGCAGGTGAGTGTGGAGGGTTCACCTGAACTCCAGGTGTGTGTGGAGGGTTCACCTGAACTCCAGGTGTGTGTGGAGGATTCGCTTCTCCTTGATGCGCTCGATGAACCAGCGGGTGTCAATAGCCGCGGCGCAGCTCGTTGTGTTCCTGCAGACTTTGACACAGGAAGGCACCGTAGGGGTTTTTGTGTCTGCACAACGTGTGCGACATGACGGCTTCGTGTTATTCTGATTCATTAAAAATACACGTCGCGTGTTTCCCATTGTAAAGTACGTAAAGGATTTTACAGTCTGCCTTGTTAGGTTCATAACGGTATGTCTCGTGTAAAGTCACAAACTAGGCGCAGCGTCTCCCTGCTCAAACTAATTTGGGATGTCTCTGGGGGGGGGGACAATGGTGTAAATTCTGCATTCCTATGACAGGCGACCGTTTGTGTACAGGAACAACCGCTATGGTTGGCCTCTCTCAAACATCGTTACGATAATCTGCCGAGTGCTCATGCCAACAGACCATCGGCCGCTGCCGCCTGGCCTCGCATTGGCGCAGTGCGACATCCGTGGGAGCAGTTTACGAAATCGGCTCCAGCCCCGAGACGAATCCTCCAGGGGAAACAAACGGCGACTGTTGCAGAAAAATGCATGGGAAAAAAATCCACGTCTATATTTGGAGACGTTTTGGTGTTTAACCTAATTTGGAATGAAGCACAATCATGAGATGATGCAACTGTACAAAGAAAGAACTCGTGAGCAAAAGCAGAAGCTATTTTTGTCTGAAAGCAACAAATATTAGAATAATAAAAGTCTGTTTACTTTTGGATTCTCTTGTCTCTCTCTAAGCCTGTAGGGTCCGGTTTTTAGATGGGCGTGATCTGGCCAAATGATAGCGAGCTCGCTACACGACCGCTTTGTTCACGGTTCGAATTCAGCAGCCGCCCCGATTTATCACCGTCGCCGTAATAACCATTCTAACACGTGCCACTCTGCTTGACAGTGTGGATGTTAAAGATCTCCTAATGTCATTATCAAGAGTAGTGTTGTAGGCCATTCTGTTGTGGCGTTGGGGGTCAAAATTTGCCAAAAGTGAAAATTGCGCTGAAAATCACACAATTGATATCATGCGTAGCAATCGCTACCCCCTAGGGGCAGGCTCATGCCTCAGGTCACTCTTACAAATGAGACTTAACCTGGTCTCTTGCTTTTTCACCGGCCAAATAGTCTTGAACTTGAACGAGTTCGCCTGCATTCTACCATAAGACGGTCTGCGAAAGACCCGTTTCTACGAAGTGACGCTCCGGTGCTAGTGGATGTTTATGTGGTGGACTCGGCCCCAAATGAGTGCCCGGTTTTGTGCGTCAACTTCAACGCTAGGTAGACAAAGACATTAAGATGCGATCCTGGCTACACGACCCCATCGCATGCCATGCTGGTATTTTAAATCGTGCAGTTGTCTGGAATTCTCAACGTAACTTTACGGACGTGCATCAGGTGACCAGATAGACAAGACAATGGGCGGCCACTGACGTAGTGTGTCTACTGACCAAGGAAGATGAACATATGATCATCGCAATCGTTTTGTAGACAAAGATGTGCACTGTGTAGAAGTTTCTAAACATCGTATCGGAAAATATTTCACAGTCATGGCGCGCGTTTTTAGTAAATTTCTTACGTAACTCTTAAGTGTCGGCTATAAAAGTCGTTGTGCATACGTCACTGATACGGAGGTGACTCGCGTTTACGGGGTGAGCCTGCGTTGGGCTTTTATTGCTCACCTTGAGGATTAGCACATCATCAGCCCCTTCTCCGGTCCCTGTCAGGACGTGCATGCCATCATTAAAATGCTATTGCTGGACATTGACCACTCATGGTCACCCTTTTCAAGCCGCGTGTGCTAATGCACGTCGTTCGTTTTTCGGCAGCACGGTTGCCCGGCCGTCAGGTGTCGTTTGCGCTGCATGATTTTTTTATCATCCTACTGTCGAATAAAACATAAAATCAACGGCAGCAGAGAAGCTGCGTCAGTAAATCTCGCCCGCTGCTCTTTCCACGGCTCGTTCGATTGCAATCGCAGGGCGGCGGTAATGGCCACCGTACCACTACTTCCTTCTGCGTGGAAAAAGCAAGTTGGCAGCGGAGCTGGTGCCGCGTGCCAGCGAGCGGGTGGCTTGCCGCCGTCAGCTGACTCGAGGGCCCTAATGAGAGGCTTCCTGCGCAGGGCGCGCCGCCGCGGAGTTGCGCCGTCGGGCATCGACGGTTGACGCCAGACGGAGACCGAGCGCCCACTCGCGAGTGTTTGCTTGGGAATGAAATATGCGCCTTTGGCCCGACTTTCCCCCCCCCCCCCCCCCCCCCCCCAAGGAAATTTCCACAAGTGTTTTTTTTTTTTTCAAAAAAGCCGTATCGTGTCTCACAAAAGTCGCGTTTTTATCCCAGCGTATAAAATATGTATGTGTAAATAATCACGCCGCTACGTTCCATTAAAAGCACGTTTAAATACTGGCTTTCTGGCCCGGTAGGTGGTGATTTCTTTTTTGGTTTTTACCCCCAGAGTGAAGGGAAACAGAGGCCGCATTGTCGCACGTTAAATGTGCTCGTGGCAAAAAAAAAAAACCCTGCGATTTTTAAATAAAGCTGCACTCGCGTTCTCAGGATCTTATTCTCTCCACAGTGCCGAGCCCTGGCTTTTAACTTCCTTCCTGTAGAGTTTCCTTTTCGCTGATGTCTACGGTCCCATCGTGGTGCAAAACCAGAGATACTGACTTAAACCCCGGCAAGTTGTGTGAAGGATTCTGGCTTAGGTTAGGTCCCTACTTATGCCAAGGGTTGTGCGTGGCGCTGTCAGAAACGTGCATCGGTTACTTTTTGTTGCCTTCAGTTTGTTGCCAGTGACCAGTGCAGGCCTTTGCTTCACGTGTCTTCATGTTGTGCAGTGTGTGCGTCCGTGTGCCGAGTCGAGGCGGGGATGTGCTTTGCCTTGCTGCGAGCCGATAGGCCGGCTTGTGCCACGTTTAGAAAGGGCTCGCTGCATGCTGCTGCGCTCCGATAGCGACTTCCTTGGAACTTGAAACCTCGGTGACCTTTGCTGTAAATGAGATAAGGGCAGTACGGGCCGATCTGGTGTTCCTCTGCACGGTGAATCGAACATTGGCCCTGTCGGGGGTTTACATCGGGACATGCGTCCGATCGCATCGGATGATGAGCCTTGGGAAGGGATGACAAATTATTTATTTCAGCATTTTCAGAGGCATACGTCACTAAAAAATATTATCGCCTACTATTTGGCATTTGCCCAATATTAATATACTTATAAATAGCTTTTCTCGTATTTTATTGGCTTTAACATCGCATTCCACGGGAGGCAAATTGTTGACCCTTGCCCGTATGAGTAACACCAATCAACCTCTAGGCTGTAATTTTATGGAGCTAGCATGTGAAAATGTTTGTTTTTGGATTCTTGCGGTCATAAGCGTAGACTCATTTTAGCTCTGTGTAACCCTCCTATAACAGCACAAGAATTAACATCGGTCACCGCCTCCGTCACGGTCGCCTGTGCGCATTTAATATGGGAGCTTGGGGAGAGACCCTTATCCAGCAGTGGATTTGACGGAAAGGCAATCGTGCACACGTACGTGTCTCACGTCGTGAAATCTCACCGCTTTGAGGGTCCTTCTGCTTTACTTGCGGTGTCGAGTTCATCGCAGCCTCCCGGTGGCCATCCACGTCACCAGCGGGACCAGCAAGGGTGGCGGCGTCTGTTTGAGAGGCGCCAGCAGCCTCACCGTGGCCCCCCCCCCCGCACCGGCGGAGCACATGACTAACGAGGGCTGGCGGCGCGTATAAACAGACTGCTGCACCGCAGAGGGTGGCGAGTCACTCCCAGTGGCCTTAAAATGGTATGCGCATTGCGCAATTACAATGATTGAGCAAAATAATACCGGAGCCGGCGGTTTTGTATTTAAACCCGGTAGCTTTGGACTTAGAATTGATCGCGTCACCTCGCAGGTATGTCACTCCTACCCCGGCGCGTTGTGTGAAAGAGGCGTTGTACATCATAGCTGCACGTTCTAGCCAGTCGGGGTGTTACAGCGTGTTACAGACCACTCTCCCCCCCCCCCCCCCCCCACAGTCTGGAACTCCCTGGCCCCAACCATCAATGCTGTCAGCTCCCTACCTCTGATTTAAAGCCCAGGCCCCTTTTAGTTTATCCTCCTCTGCTAATGACTGCTTGTATCCACAAGACAAATCCGCACGAAGATTTCCGCACAGCATCTCGAGGTGCCCGTCACATTTGCAGACACCGGTTAAATACGTACTGAACTGCGTTTGATGGACGGCCTCTGAAAACTGCCCCCTTGCACGGCGCGCGTGGCTCGGCACGCGCAGCTGCGTCCATGCACGTCACCCGCTGTCCACCTGCAAAACCCGTGGGATACGTGGCGCCGCGAATGCAAACATCCGTCCCACCCGCGACATCTCGCCGTGTCGGTCGCGGGCCCTCGGGGGGGGACGCGTGCGAGGATGCGACAACTCTGCCTGGCGGGAGCGAGGCGAGGGTTACGGGCGAGTGACCCCCCCCCCCCCTCCACGTTATGACTCCCGCTTCCCTTTCCTGTGCTTCCCTTTCCGATGGCAGGCAAACGCTCCGAAGCTCTCCGGCTCAGTGCAGAAGGGGAGGGGGGCCCTGCTGTCCGACATCCACAAGGGAGCGAAACTCAAGAAGACGGTGACCAATGACCGGAGCGGACTCATTGTGGACAGTGAGTGACTGGTGACTACCCCGTGCTCCCCGGCACTCCTCGCTGTGCGTGGAGGAACCCGTATGCACCGAGATGCAGATAAGCGTACTGTTTTCCGCTGGGCAGTGGCGGTCACACCCTTACTTTGCCACAAGTTGCTTGCGGGAGTTTGACTGCAGTTTTTCCCGTCGTTCCGATGGGTGGGCAGTAACGGGTAACGTTTAGTTTCGCGCTAGATATTTTCTGGCCTATCCGTGTAGACTGGAAAATTGGCATGTGACTAGTGGCCATCGCCAAGAGGTTTACTGGATGTGGTGTGCCGGGCTGTGGAACTATTTATTGGGTCGCTCACCTGATGACACCTGGCTGAAATTACACACGTGGAGTACAGGGCAGTGGTTGAGCAACAGAGTGGACGTATTAGATTTAAAGAGATGGGTATAGAGGCTCCTCGCCACACCTCTATGCAATACGCACCCATGAAACTGCACCCTTGACGAATGTTGATTTTTAACGTTTGCATTAGCACCACAAGGTGTCGCACATTTGTCGTAGCCCTCGGCATCTAAACGATTTGACATGCTGGATGTGGGTCCCCATATCTCGTGCGGGTCGTGGTCGGTGTAGGTTGGTGAAGGTGGGCAGCAAGGCCGTGGGAGCACAGGAGTACAATACAGCAATGTGTTTCGCTGTACCGCTCTTAACCACCGCCCGCAACGCAGCCTCGCAGCCCTATGACAACGTGTTTGTGCGTGGCGGCCACCCATCGCAGGGGCCATCCAGGGCTGACCCCACTGAGCTTGAGATGCGGTCGGGCAAAGCTCCCCAGTGATTTGGTCATCCGATAGCTCAATGAGCGGGGCTCGTGAGATGACCGATGAGCTCGTTGTCCCGCACGCGACGGCGGTCGCTCTGTGTCCGTGTCCCCGTGGACCGTGGCGAGCGAGAGGTCTGTGCGCCGCTGCCGCCGCCGCCCGTGAAGGAGTGGGGCTTGGGGGCTTGGGGGCTGGGCCTGCCCTGAGCCGCAGCTGTCGAGGTGCGGCTGACGAATTGCAATCCGTGTCGCGGCAGAGCCGAAGGACAGCGGCGGCGGAGGAGGAGGAGGAGGAGGCAGGATGGGGGGCGGAGGCGGGGGAAGTGGAGGTGGGCCCATGGGGGGAGGCGGCCCAGGACTTGGGCCCATGGCGGGGGGCGGCCCAGGACTTGGAGGGCTCTTTGCTGGTGGAGTTCCGCAACTGCGAGGTGCTGGAGGACGCAGCAGCGGAGGTCAGAGACTCGCAGTGACTCTCATCGATACTCTCACACGCTCATAGATACTCTCACACTCTCATAGTTACACTCATAGATACTCTCATACGCTCATAGATACTCTCACACTCATTCACACTCTCATAGTTATACTCATAGATACTCTCACATTCTCATAGATACTCTCACACTCATAGATACTCTCTCATAGCGACTCCAATATAGCTACTCACAATGTAGCACTGCACACACAGGCAGCTCTCGTAGCTACTCTCGCACTCGCACATCCCACGCTGTCACGGCTACTCACACAGCCGCTGCCTACGTGTGCGTGTGTGTGCGCATTTGTGTTGCAATCGGCCTTCCTGTCGGAAATGAACTTAAACCTCCCCGACGTCGGCAGACTCGGGCGGAGCACGGGGCCCTCTGCTGCCGCCCTCTGGGAAGCCGTCCCCCTCGGGGTTCGCTCCCAGAGCCGGTGGGCCCTCCTCCAGCGCAAGCCCACGGCTGCCGGCCTTCGCCCCCTCCCGCCCCAGCTTCAATGCCCGTTCATCGTCGCCGTCGCCGTCGCCCTCTGCGGCCGCAGAGCCTCCGCGCTTTCCCAAGCCTCTGCGCTCGAGCAACCACAGCGGCGGCAGAGGCGGCGCCGCGAGCCCCGAGCAGCCGAGACCTCCGCTGGGCCTCCAGAAGCCGGGCTTCCCCAAACCGCAGCTGCAGCCCCAGCCCCCTCCGCCGCTGGTGCCGTCGCAAAGCTTCAAGCCGACGCCGTTTGGCAGCAGGCCAGGCCTCCCCGCTCAGCCCAACGACAGCGCTTCGGCCACTTCCTCGCCTCCCAGAAGGTCCTCTGCACACAGCAACTACAGATCCCCCGGACATGGGCACACTCCGGAGAAGCCGTCGACGGCGTCATCACCCCTCAAGCCTCCGTCGGCAATGCATGGTCTGTCGTCGGTGCCGTCGCAGTTCGGCGGCAGCCGGCCCGGTCCCTCGCAGCCGCCGTCGTTGCCGGGCGGCCGGGACCGATGCCCGCCCGTGCCCAGCACCAGCCGTCCCCTGCCGAGCCAGGACAGCGTGTCCAGGGAGTGGCCACCGGCGCCGTCGAGGGAAGTGGCCAAAGAGTGGCCACCGGCGCCGTCCAGGGACGGGGGTAGGGAATGGCCGCCCGCGCCGTCGAGGGAGGCGGTGAGCAACCCTCCACCGCTCCCTCCTTCGAGCAGCAAGATGGGACCCCCAGCTGCCTTCCTGCCCAGGCGAGTTTGACCCCCAGAGGTGGCACGGCAGTGCGATGGATGCCAAGTGGCACGGTGGGGAGATTTTAACTACCTCGCCTGGTATACAGGAGGTCGTGGGTTTGACCCCGACCCTTGATGCCTGTATATTTGGAGTTCGCATGTTCTCTCCGTGGTCACGTGGATTTTTCTCCAGGTACTCCTGTGATTTTTTTTATATTTCGAAGCCTGCGTTCAGAGTGTTTGGCTGCGATAAATGTCCATATGATGATAAGCCACTTCCATCGAGCTATCATTTGTGGCCAGGCTGCTTCTGAACAAGAGCTATATAGCTCGGTGGGCCTTACCGGGTAAAATAAAAAAGTGTTCGGCCTCGTGTCCGTTCTGGTCAGAGTCATCGACTGATAATTATAAATGTGCGAGTTTAAATTCCCGTAGGGTGTTGACGCAGCCCATCATTCCTACAGGATCAATAAAATCAGTAACGCTTTATGGCAAATTCAACAGCGGTTGTCCCGTGGGAGATAGGATTATCCCTCCGCTGGCTCTGGGCCACCACTGGTGACAAGTGGCTCCCCCCACTGTTCATGTGAGCAGGGGGACCCTGTGACCTGTGAACATATGAGGCACGGCATTACACTTTACACACTGATTTATACATTCGTTTTCATTATCCAGAAAGATGTGACTCATGGAATGTGTGTTAGGCGTGTTTCATTTGTTGCCCGTCCTGCAATGTTGTCACCTATGCAGCATGAATGTAGCTGAGATTGGAGCTATCTTCCAGCAGCCATTTTACAGGTTTTCTCAATCCACTTCTGAATGAAGACCATCCCTCATACCTTTTCCGACGTGGGGGTTGTTTGACCATACTTCCCCCTGGTCGGTGCGGGTCGTTGAAGGAGAGGCCCAGCAATGGATTTGATATCACTCGCCGCTGATGTTAGCCGTGACCCACAGTTTAAATTCAATTCGCCGGGTTCCCATTGCCGCGCGTTAACCGCTGCACCACCGCTTCCCCATGTGCTGTGTGGAACTCGCGTGACGCAGGTCTGAGAATCCACCCACGCCGCCGTCGCACAGGAACGGACCCCCCCCACCACTGCCCCCCTCCTCAAACAGGAGGAGCAGCGCGGCGCCTGCCATCAGATCGGATCGCTTTGTGCCGAAGATCCCCGACGGGCCCTCGCCCCCCTCCCTGCCTAAGCGGCAGAACTCGCTGCAGATATTGGCCCCGCGTGGAGGGGCGCTGCCTCCCCCTCTGCCCACGAGCACGAGGCCTCCGACTCCCGCCCGGGATGCCCAGAGTCGCGGTGGCGCAGCTCATGCAGGTTGGCATGTGCGACCTCTCGCCCGTCTCCTCCATGTCCCATAATTCTCTAGTCGCGTAATTATGTTAAATCTTAATTTTAGAACTTTCGTGACTGCAGGAATTATTATTTGGTTCTTTCGGTTAAGTCACGTCTAAAGATAAAATAATAAATTAAATTAAATAATAGCATACGACGTTTCGATTGCAACACAAGCAATCATCATCAGGTATAATGAAATAGCGACATAAAATCTAACCAGAAAACTATAGACAGACATATTAGCAGACAGATATCACCAAGATACATAGAGGGAGCAACACAGGAAACAGAGAGGGGTGATCATCTCTGTGGGGTGGCCTTAAATAGACAGAGGGGGGAGGAGGCAGAGAGAGGGAGGGGGTTAGAGAAAACATTTGCATATCAATGAGTGGTCAAAAAACAAGGTTCTGCAAGTGCGATGACACGGCAAGCAAGTCTGAAAATCAGAAGGACAAACTAAAATTCAATAACCTAGTAAAATATCGAAATGTAATGTAATACAACACAGAGGGTCAGTCAACACACAATTAACGCATAGCCTGGTTGATTACGTATTTCAAAGATTGCTAAGTTAGAATTTAAGTGTGAACATTCCAAAGAGAAGACACAGGCAGAGAGAAGAGAGAGAGAAAAAAAAGGATAAGCTCAAAACTTCCCCGTAGAAGTGGTTCAATCTTAATTTTAGAACTTTCGTGACTGCAGGAATTATTATTTGGTTCTTTCGGTTAAGTCACGTCTAAAGATAAAATAATAAATTAAATTAAATAATAGCATACGACGTGTTGTATGTGTGTTGTTAGTATTGTGGTATGTATGTTGAACATACGTAGCCAACCATGCTAATCGGATGTGCGGGGGAAATACAACAAACTAAACGCAAAAACAGTGCTAATGATTTAGATTTGTAAGTGCTTAGCTCCAGTGGCTTCCTGATATTGGAAGGAAGAGCGTTCCAAACGGCCGCAAAAGCGCATCTAAGAGAGCGCGATGCAGTAACCTGTCTTTGTTCGACGGCGAGCCAAAAGCCGCTGCGAGGATGACCGGAGTTCGCGTGATGATTTTTGCTCTTCGACGAGATCGCCAGGGTGTAGTGTGGTTCATTTGTGGCAGGCGCTCTTGTGTGTGATGATCGCCACCATAAAAGATGCCGATGGGATACCGGCACTGAGCGGCTCTGACCTCTGCCCCCCCTCCCTCTCCGCTCTTCCCTTCCAGTCGCGTCCAGCGCCTTCCCCCCTCCGCCGCCTCCCAACAGGAACGGGCAGATGAGCGCGCGCCCGGCACCGCCGGTGCCCACGACGGCGCGTCCCTACGCACCAGGGGACCAGCCTCCCCCGCCGCCCCCCCCCAGTAGGCCCAGCTCCAACTTCCCCTCCGCCGCTCCTCCGCCCCTGCCCTCTCGCAACGGTCATCTCAACTCGCCCACGTCAGGTGCGGTCGGGCATGGCTCTACTCGGACTCGCTTTGTTTCGACATTTGACGTCTAAAATGTAACCGGTGGAACGCGTGTGGGGCCCGATGGCTCAAGAGGTCGGAGTGCGCTGAGGTGGTACCACTGAGACCTGGGTTACAATCTGGGTTTCGTGCCGCCTGCCACGAAATCAAATTCTCAAGTGAGTTGATGGTCTCAGGCTGGTCAACGGTGAGCTCAATTCTGGCTCTTGAGAATAAAAATGTTGGATCGTCCCCCCTCATGTGACAAACATTACTCTGTTTAACACGTAGGCTTTTGCGACCAATATTATTCATAATCAACGTTTTTGGGTTTAGATCCAGCATCATCGGGCATTCTGGCGAATTGCCCGATGATGCTGGATGCAATTACCAGCGAAACGTCGTACTCAAAAATTGTAAATGTTGTGGCTTCACGCTTCAACACACCGGTGGGCTAAAGCAGTGAACTATTTGTCTTTTGTCAACGTGACACTTTTTTACTGATTGGCCGTGTCCGGTGGTGGAGGGTTACGACACATTTATAAATAACGCGATCTAAACCCAAAAACGTTGATTATGAAAAACATTACTCTGTAGCAGGGTGCACGGGAAAGGGCAGCAGCCTCCATTGTGTGGGCCCCCCTATGATGGGCCGTTCTCTGCCATGAAGGGTTGGCACTGCTCTACGATTGTTGAATTTATATAATTTTTCTCATGCCAGGATTTTGATAGCACAGTCGGGATAAAAATGGGCATGTGGCAGAATACTCCATCGGGTTAATGTTTAATGTCAGCAAAATGATTCAGCACCGTTTCTACAGACGAGCTCGCCGCATTGACAAAATTGACGTAATGTCACGGATCATTCTGTCGTGGTTTCATCTCGAGTTTGGAGAAACCGACTGGACATCTGTGAAAAAGAGCTTCATAGCTCATTGGATTCCTCCAGTAGAAATAAAGATTCTGATCCACCCATAGCAGAGGTTGCAAACGGGTTTTGATTCCTTACCCGTACCCGGCCGCACCAGGGTCGCAAACGGGTACCCGTACCCGGCCGTACCCGTACCCTACCCAAACCCGGCCGGGTATCGGGTAGGGTACGGGTACCCATTTGCGACCTCTGGGATGAAGCCATGTTGCAGGCGTGGGTGGGTTGATTCTAGGAACTTGAATTGTGAGGAGACAAGACGTTGGGAAATGAGTGACAAATGGTTACTCACCAGTGACTCACGGCCGACCCGTACCCGTACCCGGCCGCACCAGGGTCGCAAACGGGTACCCGTACCCGGCCGGGTATGGGTAGCTGGGTATCGGGTAGGGTACGGGTATCGGGTACCCGGTTGCGACCTCTGACCCAGAGGGGTTGTTGGAGCTGCCCCTCTGAAGCAGCATTTGGCTGAGGAGGAGGTCGTTTGCAACGGTAGCCTCGGTGCACGGACGGAGTCACGTGCGACTCGTGAGGTTGTTTTTAATTTACGTTCTCGTTTCTTTCTCCTCCGCAGATGATTTCGAGTCGAGATTTAATTTCCACCCCGTCTCCGACTTCCCCATTCCCGAGCGCTTTCAGAACATCCACAAGACGTATCCCAGCCAGGCGATGAGAAGTCAGTAACTTTTAAGACGTATAAAAATTACAGCTTCTGTGTGTGTTTTTTTTTTAATGCGACATGCCTGTAGTTTCGTACGATGTTTAAATTTGCAGTTGCTCTCGATTATCCCTGCGTGGTTCAACCGGGTTGGGGATGAGCCGCGCTCGTTCAAAACGTGGAGCAGAAGAAAACGTCGCGTTCCACGGTCATCCGCGCGTGCGTCGCTTTCATTATTAGCTACCTCTCACTCGTGGCTTGATGAGCCATTACTTTGAGAAAAATAAACAGTGTTCATATTCACATCCTCATTCTACATAAATGTATGTGTGTCATGCGTAATTTATCTATTTATTTTGGCATTATCTGTGTTTTTATTCTATCTCGGCCATCCTCCCCGCATGACCCCCGATAATCGAGAGTTGGCAACATTTCGCTCGGCGTGTTTAATATACATTTTCTTAGGATTTGAACGCTAAATTGAGCCGACCCGACTGACGAACCGTTCACATTTTTCCATTCTTCCCAGACGACTCCGTGAACTCGCGATCGTACCCTCCACCCCTCCCGTCTCGCTAGCCGAGGCCCCGGCGTCTCGCTAGCCGAGGCCACGGGGGGCTGGCTACAACTCGACCCCACCAGAGAGCGGCCTGGCGCTGCTGTGCCGGACATCGCACCGGACGACCCCGAGGGGTGCGCGCGACCTTGCGCTGGAGCTCGCGCGACGTGCCCTGACGGTGCTCCTCTCGGCTCGCACGCTAGGGGAGCGTGCGAGAGGATCCGATCACCAGCCCGCGGCGTTTCCGCGTCGAGTGATGAGGCAGCAGCAGCATCAGCAGCGGGTTGCGGTCGTGTGCCTGGGCAGCCTTGAAATGCCCGGCCTGTGTAAAGGTGCCGCCCTGGGGCGCACAGACCTAGCTCAGACTCCTCAACTCCACGTGCCCAAAGTGCTAAACGTCACATGCATTAATGCCTCCAGTCACACGAGGCATCTTGCTGCATTGAGCACTTGAAATCGCTTTCTTGTTGTTGTATTCTTCTTACATCTTCACAGCTCTTAAAATGCCACTTTGTTTAAAACTGCGGCGTGCTGTTACGAGACACGGCAGTGTCGCGTATAAGAGGGCGCGTTTCTCAGCCAATACAAATGTCTATTGGTTGGTTTGTTTGTGCCTTACCAGTTGAGGTTTCTTCACCGACGTTTCAGGTGTTATTGTACATACAGTATGCAGTCATCCTCTTAGAGTTTACCTTGTAGTTTGCCCGTGGGCATTTTTAATTGATCGTTTGCTGGTTCGCAGCCGTTTACAAAGACACATTGTTTAAAGTCGTAAAAGTAACTTGTATGGATACTTTGAATACTCTGTTATGTATGTTGACATTTTCGTGATTGTTTTTATTCTTAACTCCTCACATTTGTTGTTACCAAAGTACCAAAGGAATGCAGTGGCCATATGTACTTGACGTTTACAATGGGCAGATATTGATATTGATGGATTTCTTTTGATATAAGGAAGAATTAATTGATAAAATGGGGCACTTTTTTGACATATGCATAAAAATCAAATATGAGACAAGGCTCTATGCAGAGTTCTTAATTTCAGTCTTGGAGGTCAGTGGTCGTTATGCCACGGTTAATCAAGAAGGTCAGACAATTTCTGGCAGAATAAGCTGCGTATTTTAAAGGAAACTTTATTTTACTTCATTTGTATATTATATATTTTACAGAGTTGAACTTATTTGCCGAAACAACGGCGGTAAACCCGACGCCTGCATCTCTGTCGCATTGCTGGGTTAGTGCGTAGCACGTGAGGGGCGTAGAGGTGTGGTGCAGGCTTGCCCGTTTTGCACACCCCTGGGCGTACGTGATCATGCAAGGAGATGGCAAGCCTTGAGCATAATGAGCTCGACAATCATGGAAGACGCCTTGGAGAGCAGACAGACCCCCCCTCCCCCCCAGCGCACCACACTCGTGGAGGTGCGAGTCTCTTGACTAAGCACTCCCCACCTCGTGCTAATGTCGGTCCTTTTGTGTGTAGTTAGTTGTCCTTCCTCCGCACCTCCGAGTAGCACGGTTGGCTACGTGCGGTGCGAAAGAAGTTCAACGATCGTACAAACGTGCACCACGTGTCGCGGAGGTGCGGGTCCACCGCGGTACAATCGCTCCACGCGGAATCCGCTCGCGTGCGGAGCGGCGGGGCCGCGCTTGAACTTGTTTGTCGGTTTACAAAGCCCCGCGCATTTACCCTCTCCGCCGCAGCATCGTGCTTGTGGGGCGTCCGTCGTGAAGGATGCGCCTGCGATCATCGTGCAAAATGAGCAACCAAAACTTCAGAGTTCGTCGGACCGTGTTGGCACCGTGCTGCTGCGGGTCGCTTCGTTTCGCTGTCTGTCTTCCGTGCAGAGGTGTCGGGAGTGCGTGTTCGCTCAATCCTCGTCCATTGTAAAACAAAAGCTTACTCCGCTACTTAGTGTATGACGTATGTGTATAAGGGTCGCTTCCCCATGTAATCCTCTCGTTATATCGTCGGGTATTTGTGCGCGAGTCGCACATTCCGAATGAAGTCTTCGTCGTGGGCACGCGTGCGTGTTCCCGCGTGGCCGTGTCTCTCATCCCCCCCCCCCCCCCCCCCCCGGTGCATCAGGTACGGGTGAGTCGAAGGTGCCTCTCGCTCGTGAGCTTGGCACAGAGCAGTGGGCACCTGTCGCCCGCCAGCTCCGTCGATGGCCCTGCCCTCGGTTGGCGGAACGGTTGTGGTGGTTTTGTCAGCCACGTGTCCTAAGTCGAAGTTTCCATTGGGCACGGAGGCGCAAAGCCATCGAGGAACGGTCTGACGACGTCGTCGTGGTGGTGAGGGTGAGCGAGGAGAGTGGAAACAGCGCCGAAGTGACACATCGTCATCCTCGTTGCCCTGCATTGCCCCACGCGGAGAGCACACGCAATAAAGGGCTTCTGCATACTCGAGTGATGTGGTGTGTCGTGCGTTCCTGATGTCTCGTTAATATTTTACTGGGGCTAAAGTCGCACGCTTATTAATCACCGTGTATAAACAATGTCCTTCATTTTGCTACAAACAGAATTGCAAATGTTATTTATTGTTACAAGCTGACTTTTTGTTTTTCAGCGGAACCAACACCGTGAATAATGTATACACATTCAGCTCGACTTGGAGCCAACCAGCAAGCTGGAGCATTGGCAACGATTCCGATTGTCCGCTTGTTAAATCCTTTATATTAAGTTCACTTGCTTGCTTGCTTAGGACCGTGCAAATCTTTCGGTCGTTTTTTAACCCACATCCCGTGATCCAATCGAGCTGACATTTTGCACACAGACTCGTTGTGCTTGACAATTTTTTTTCTTGAAAAATTTTTTCCATAACTTTACACTTTTTAGGGAAAAAAATTATATTTAATTACCAATTGCTTAATGGTGGCAGGCAATCATCTGACCCATAGGTGGCAGCCATCTCAAGCCAGAGGACGAGAGGACTCTAGCCGCCACGCATATAAAGGATTTATAGTGAAAAACTTTGTTTTTACGGGTTAATTTCTTTTTTAGTTAATGCTCTTCCTCCAGTGATGTAACGTTTGGTCTTGTGGCGAGGCTCGTAATCCCGAGAGAAGCTTATGCTGCTCCACTTGTCACCGCCTTGTGTCTCGGAAGGCTTGAGAAGTTGAGCCGTATTCCTCTCCCGCGAATGGAGTGACAACCCCCCCCCCCCCCCACTGTTATTGTCCGAGTCGGAACGATGGCGTGGTTTGCCCGCGGCTCCCGCACGGCGCGTGTCGTTTGTGAGAATACCGGGGCAGGCCACGTGCTCCACTCACAATGCGAAGCATTCGTGTCCCCGGCCTGGAGGCGACTCGGTCCATCATTGGGGGGGTTACTAAAATGAGTGCCCCTTTGTGGGAAGGCAATGTTGGGTTTCCCATGAATATGCTGATCTCTGTCACGGGAATGTGGCATTTTCACCACTGCTTCAGATGAAGGCTGCACCAAGCCCGTTCTATCAGGGAAGATATGTTGACGTTTTTTGCTTTCTGTCATCAGCAGCCATGATCAATCCACTGCTGGATAGTTTTTATAACCCGCTGCAAACTCTATTCTGTGATGTAACAATCCATTCAGCACATGGGTCTGCAACAAAAATAACAAGAAGAGCCTGTTTTTTTTCGAATTATGTATATATAAAAAAAAACTATTTCAAGAGCCGCACTACACGCTAACACCACAATGACGCAGCAGTCCTTAAGAGAGCCGCATGCGGTCCCAGACCCCCAGGCCGCCGGCCCCTGGTCGAGCGCGTGTATTACGAGTTGATTTAATTGCTCCATCTCCCTGGTGGTATTTCTCTCGGGGTCGTTCATTCCACCGCCGCCTTGCTGAGTGGAGTTTTAGATGGATTTAGGTGTGGCTGGCTGCCCGGTCCTCACGAATCCTGACCACATGCCTTGTTCACAGGGCTTGACAATTGGAACATCACAAACCGCGGGGAGGGAGGGGGGGGTATGGCCATTGGGGAGGATAGTTCTCGTCGTGCCTGCTGCGTTGGCCAAACCTCTCCAGGCACTCCTCAAGTGCCGTGTCCGCCTTCATAGTTGCTTGCTGACGTCAACTCGGTTTGTCAAGTTTGGTGACTTTTGGGTAATGCCGATGCGTGACACTGACCGGCTGTGTGTGATTGACGGGCTGTGTGTGTGTGTGTTGAACTGTTTTTTAGCACAGTACGTAGCGAATCGTGCTAACCGGAAATGCGGCGGAAGGACAACGAAGCAAACAGAAAACAGTTCTAAAGAATTGTGTTTTAAATCTAGATGATTTAAAGTGCGTATAGCCTCCAAGCAGTGACGTAGTGTATCCTAGTAGCAAAAGCTACTTCACGTGTAGTAGCTACGGGCCCCGCACTTTCAAGGGCCCCGCGCTAAATGCTTTCAAACTATCAATTCCGGTTCAGTGATTCTGCACTTGCTCTATTACTATAGTACTATACTGCCTTCAACTTTTATGAACGACTGGGTGTTTAAGGTTAGCGTATTATCTGGCTGTATAGCAAATGAAAAAAATGCAAGTACTTTACTATGCAAGCAACAAAATTATGTTTTAATATTTGTGGGTTTTTTTTATTTAGGGCCCCTTTATAACATGCTACAGACACCGTGCTTGCTTAATCCGGCACTGGCCCCAGTTGCTTCCCAATATCGCAAGGAAGAAGAGCGTTTAAAAGCGCGCGATGCAGTGACCGTCCGTCTCTGTTCGATGGTGAGTGCGTGAGTTTGCGAGTGCGGGAGACTTTGACTTTTAAACAACTTTTATTGCCGCCAGCAGCAACATCGAATGCGGGAGAAGCCCTCCCCCGCATGTCGGCGTGAGCGAGCCAGGGAGACGCGGTGCAAATGCTCCCTCCATCCCTCCCCATTAGGGCTGAACGATTTGGGGGGAAATGTCTTATTGCGATTTTTCTGACGGATATTGCGATTTGATTTGCGATTAATTTTTTTAAAAGTCAAGCTTCAGTTCAATATTCACTGTGTAATAGATTTAAAACATGCGATGGAGTATTATCACATGATACCATCAATATGAACTGCTCTATATATTCTAATGCAAGGATGAGAACTTAAAAGATATGAATTGCTTCCAAAATGTATTTATTAAAATGTTTTAAGTGAAATAGAACAATCAAACATAGAACAATTGTTAAGTTAAATAAAGTTATAATAATAAAAAATAAAACAATTCCAATAAGTAATGACTTTTAAAATCGCAAAAAAATCGCAGCTTTTGCCATTTGCTAATCGCATTGTTTCAAATTGCGATTTCGATTTGAAATCGATTAATCGTTCAGCCCCAATCTCCCATCAATCATCCGCGAGTCCGCGCTCTGCCGCGGTGCGATCCCAGCGCCGTCCGCGGGGAGGCGCTGGCGGCGCGGGCATGGAGCTCGACGCTAATTCTCGATCCACCCCTCGTGGTGGAGCTCCCAACTCTCCCAGCTCCACCCCCCTCGTGGTGGAGCTCACAGTTCCACCCCCCTCGTGGTGGAGCTCCCAACTCCCCCCCAGCTCCACCCCCTCGTGGTGGAGCTCCCAACTCTCCCAGTTCCACCCCCCTCGTGGTGGAGCTCCCAACTCTCCCCCAGCTCCACCCCCCTCGTGGTGGAGCTCCCAACTCCCCCAGCTTCACCCCCCTCGTGGTGGAGCTCCCAACTCTCCCCCAGCTCCACTCCCCTCGTGGTGGAGCTCCCAACTCCCCCCAGCTCCACTCCCCTCGTGGTGGAGCTCCCAACTCCCCAGCTTCACCCCCCTCGTGGTGGAGCTCCCAACTCCCCCAGCTCCACCCCCCTCGTGGTGGAGCTCCCAACTCCCCCAGCTTCACCCCCCTCGTGGTGGAGCTCCCAACTCCCCCCAGCTCCACTCCCCTCGTGGTGGAGCTCCCAACTCCCCCAGCTCCACTCCCCTCGTGGTGGAGCTCCCAACTCCCCCAGCTTCACCCCCCTCGTGGTGGAGCTCCCAACTCCCCCAGCTTCACCCCCCTCGTGGTGGAGCTCCCAACTCCCCCAGCTCCACCCCCCTCGTGGTGGAGCTCCCAACTCCCCCAGCTCCACTCCCCTCGTGGTGGAGCTCCCAACTCCCCCAGCTCCACCCCCTCGTGGTGGAGCTCCCAACTCTCCCCCAGCTCCACCCCCTCGTGGTGGAGCTCCCAACTCTCCCCCAGCTCCACCCCCCTCGTGGTGGAGCTCCCAACTCCCCCAGCTTCACCCCCCTCGTGGTGGAGCTCCCAACTCCCCCCCAGCTCCACTCCCCTCGTGGTGGAGCTCCCAACTCCCCCCAGCTCCACTCCCCTCGTGGTGGAGCTCACAGTCCCCCAGCTCCACCCCCCTCGTGGTGGAGCTCACAGTCCCCCAGCTCCACTCCCCTCGTGGTGGAGCTCCCCCCCCCCAGCTCCACTCTTCGTTGAGCCTCTCGGCTTCTGTCGTTCCCAGCTCTCCCTTCTTCCGGAGCTCCCAATTCTGATCACTGAGCTCTCGTCTCCCTCTTCCTGCAGCCTCCATCTCCTCCCCCCTCGTGTACCCCCTCCCCCCCCCGAGTTCTCCCTTCTCTTGCCCTGAATCCCCAGCGATGCACACCTTGCCGTGTGCGGAGCTCCCCGCGGGACTTTGCAAGGTGGTCCGGGCGAGAGACTCCACGCCAGAGGTCGCAAACGGGTTTTGATTCCTTACCCGTACCCGGCCGTACCTGATTGCGACCTCTGGGATGAAGCCATGTTGCAGGCGCCGGTGGGTTGATTCTAGGAACTTGAATTGTGAGAAGAGACAAGACGTTGGGGAAATGAGTGACAAACGTTGACTCACCAGTGACTCACGGCCTACCCGTACCCGGCCGCACCAGGGTCGCAAACGGGTACCCGTACCCGGCCGGGTACGGGTAGCCGGGTATCGGGTAGGGTACGGGTATCGGGTACCCGGTTGCGACCTCTGCTCCACGCAGCTTTCCCCGCGAGTCGCCACGAGGCGGCGTCCGTGGCCCTCTGCTCGCCAAGAGCAGCGAGAGGAACGCGCGTGTCCCTGCCGGGACCCCCCCTGATGATGGGGCGAAGGGTCCCGCCGGGTCGTACACGACCTCCCCCCCCCCCCCCCCACGTCGCAGTGACTAACAGCGGCACCGCTGCGATGCCTTGAGCTGCTGCTGATGACGGTGACGGTGATGCCGCTGAGATGATTAATTTCGTATTTTTGGGGTTTTTCGGTTAAGTCACGTAGATAGGTTCAAAGAAAATAACAAACAAAAAACGACGACGTTTCGATCACAACACAAGCGAACGCCATCAGGAAGAAAATAGAACCAAATTATTTTTTTTCTTCCCGATGACGACCGCTTGTGTTGTGGTCGAAACGTCGTAGTTTTTGTAGTTATTTTTTGCTATTTTCTTTGAACCTATCTACGTGACTTTACCGAAAGACCCAA